AAAGTTCATAAATGTCCTACCTCCGAATCGTGTAAGAATCTTGCAGCTGGAATAAACGCATCGTGTGATGATGGTCATGCCGGTTTCCTGTGTACACAATGTCAAGCAGGCAGTTATGCTTGGCTGGATAAATGCTTTGAATGTCCAGGGATTTGGGCGTTGATACTGGAGTCTTGGCAGCTCTTGTCATCCTTGCAGTTTTGCTCATGATTGTCTTACTAGAACTCAGACGACACAAACGAAGCGGTCGATCATCATTAGTTCTGCGTTTTGTTCTCTCCGGTTAAAATTCTACTTGGTTTTTATCAATTCATGGGTGAGATATTCGAAGTGATGAATGAACTTTCTGTCCGGAGACACTAGGATAGAACTTGGTTCCTTCTTGCAGTTTGTTGGAGGCCAATTTGATGCAGGTGATTGTCAGTCCTCGATGTTACTTTCCCGATTTCACCTATCCCTGTGTTACATCGCTTTCCATTGCTGGTGCGTCGTTCTCTGTTACTGTGATATTGTTAGGATTGGGCATTTATGGTTTTAGGCTATTCCATCTGCGGGTGAAGAGTGCACCGATGAGGTTCGCAAACATACGATGGCTAAAACGAATGAGAGAATTCTCTTGGCTGTTGTCATTCTGTTGTTTGTTGCATACCCAAGCTTATCAGCTGTCATCATTAGCTTACTGCCTTCGGGATGTGTCACATTTTCATTGAATGAAAATGAAATGTTACCGTTACTCGGCTCAGATCCGACTACTCCGTTGACTGTAACAGTAGTCAACATGTTGCATTTAACTACGCTGCCGAGGTTTCCGTGTCTTATGTTGTTGGTTTCCCGACTGTATTACTTATCATGTTGTGGTTACATCGTCGTAGACAAGCATCAAAGAAAAACGGTCATCAGCTTGAAACTGCTGATATCCAGGCACACAGTCTCGTTGACCAGCAGTCTTTACTTGATACTGACGACACGGGCCCATCTTGCAGTTACCATACTGCCAGTCATGCAGATCAGACTCATCCTAGTGATTCACTACATACGGAAGGATGAAGAAATTGCACATATCGGTGATTCTCTTGAACGACTTAGCTCCGAATTACCTCTTGAAGAATCAATCGAAGTAAACTCAGAAAGCATCACCTGGGTGAGTTTCCTGGACGAGAACTACAAGGAGCAATATTGGTATTGGGAGATTGTGGAACTAGCTCGCAAAGTCCTCCAAGTCCTGTTCGTTCTGTTATTCGGTGCGGATGATCAATTCATTCTCTTTGCGACCATTATCGTATCTGTTGCCTTTCTAATCGCCCACGCTTACTTGAAGCCAATGAAGGATGCCGCAGAGCACCGTATTCAGATGTGGTCCTTGACTACCATCTTTTTGAATCTACTGGCGGCATCCTTGCTTGTATACCCCAGCGAAGATGGCCATACCGATGACAGTGATGCAAGGAAGGAATTTCTGGCATTTTTTTCTTGTCCTGCTTAACATCAGCATCTTTGTAATCGTGGCAGGTATGTGTTTTGATTTTCTATCTTGCGACATATTTGCGGTTTGCAAAAGTCTTTCGGTCGTTGTCATTTACAATAAGTTAACAGTTTTTAAATGAAGCAGCTTTCCTAAACAGGTACTTTTTACAGTTTACTTATAACATGTTTTATTTACTCTTCTTTCTTTTTTTTTTTCACGAAAATTTCAGCCGTATTATAGTGGTCCACACAAATATTTTGTCTTAAAAATTCCTACCGTTTGATCAATCTGACCTCTCCATCGTAAGGATGTCTGTTTATTATTTGGTTTGTGTTCACATATTAATTTTTTTAGTCAGTTCCATCCACGTGTGTCTGAAGGTTCTATCCCAAACGGCGTGTTGTAGCTACACTGCAGCAGCATGTTTCTGTCACATACGTCGTTGTCTTGCACCAAGCCGTCATCGCACACAGGAGGAACATTGCGACGATACTGAGCCAACGACAACTCTGATAAGTGGAGTACCTATTGAAGATCGGAGAAACAATAACGAGTGCCGTACTGTCTAGGAATTGCGTTGTTTTTTTCCCCGCCCAACATCGAAAAATGATGAATTAAGAATAACTAGGATGTGAAGTATGGTCAAGAGTGTTTGATGGCCGTGCTTATCAGTGGATAATAATAATGATGATGATGATGATGATGATGATGATGATGATGATGATGATGATGATGATGATGATGGGGATGATGGGGGGGGGGGGGTGATGGGGATGATGATGAACAGGTGACGTGCTCCTATCTACAAAACAGGGGGGGGGACTTTTTTGTTGTTTGGGAAAAGTTCGCTTTGAATTGGACGGATAACGATTATGAGCTTTACTTTTTTTGTTTACGGCAATTTGGTCTGGGCTGAATTCATTAAGTGTATGCAGACAAAATAATTCTGTACAAATGTAGAATAAATTTGTAGCATTGACAAAGGTGGAAACCTTGCATCAGAAGAAATAGTTAAATGACTTACGGAATAACCCTTTATTACTTTATATTACATATGCATGTATTGGTTTAGAAAATATTTGTTTTCAAAATTGTTTGTATAGTACAAACTTCGTGGCTTCTCTGAATGTCTTTATCTATCTAGTTGTAATACTTTAACAGCTAAAATGTTTCTTTGTTTACCAGGCAGCTCTGTTTCTAATTATTATATAAACTTAAAATGTCAAACTTTAATCTTTTACGCAGAATTGTCGACTAGTTTTGTATAACCAGTGGTTTTTGTAGCTCAAATTTCATGGTACTAAATAGTGAATTTTAAGAGCAAAATCGGGACGCTGATAAAAACAAAACTGAGACGGTGAAAATGGGCTCAATCGGGATGAAAAAATATATATTGCGACAGGCAAACAAAAAGCCTGGCTACACGCCTGGTATTCATAACCTTTTTGTCATAATCTAGTTTGAATACTAATAGATAAAAGGGTAAAATGTCAACTAGTAATAGGAGAAGTGTCTAATGTTCCTTTGTGTACAGGGTAGGTCTATTTTTAATTAATTTTTTTTAATTTCAAATACTTAATGGAGAAAACACTAATCTTGTACACACAGTTTTCGATTTGTGTTTTGCAGTGTTTTTTTGTAGCACAAATTAAAGAGTGCTAAATAGTGGGTAAAAACGCACACAAGCTTAAAAGACCTTCATATTTAAGATCTTACCTTGGGTTAAGTTTATGGATGATTAACGTATTGATGAACAAATGACGCCTCCATAGGAAAGAAAACAAAGAAAGAAAACAAGAACATACGGTTTGGTAACAGTTTTGTATTTACTCAATCAATCAGGTGCCGTCTTCTCGCAGAAGGTTGGCTTGCAATGGATTTCCATCTGTCTCTGTCCTGAGATGCCCTTGCACATTCCATGTAGCTAAGGCCAGTCCAGTCTCTCACATTATCAAACCACGATGTTCTTCTTCTTCCTCTCGGTCTTTCCCCCTCTATTTTGCCTTCCAAAAGAGTCTTCTGCAGCATTTGGTTTCTCATCATGTGTCCAAAGTAGTTTGTCTTCCTGGATTTTACTGTTTTTATGAGAAATTTCTTTGTCAGTGCTATTTGAAGGACTTGTTGGTTGGTCATTTTAACTATCCAGGGGATGCTCAGCATTCTTCTGTATGTCCACATTTCGAATGCTTCGAGTCGGTTGATTGAATCTTTCGTCAATGTCCATGTTTCTGCTCCATATAGTACTGTTGACCAGATGTAGCATTTGATTAGTCTTAGCCGTGTTTTGATGTTGATGTTTCTTGATGTGAAGATGTGTTTCCTTTTATTGAAGACAGATTTGCCAATAGCTATCCTTCGTTTGATTTCATCTTGGCATCGCCCATCTTCCGTTATCATTTGTCCTAAGTAGATGAAGGAGTCGACCTGTTCCAGTTCTTTCCCGTCAACCTGGATGCTGGTTTTAGACTTCCTCTTACTGATGACCATTGTTTTTGTCTTCTTGACGTTCATTTTAAGCCCGTGTTTTTCGCTTTCTTCTTTGATTTTGTCCACAATGTTTTGTAGATCCCTTTCTGTTTTTGCCATGAGGACTGTGTCATCTGCATATCTTAGGTTATTCACATTGAATCCTCCCACATTAACCCCTCTGTAATCTTCAATTTCTCTGAAGATCACTT